TGTATCTTTCCTGGTAAAATATTTTATAAATAATAATTTTATAAATAAATAATCTAGGATCCTTCACCTACAATACCACTAACAAATTGCAGTATGAATAGGTCCTATTGTCACCCATATCTTGGGAGTCAATTAGTAGCAAAAAAAGATTAAAATCCTTGCCTTCCAAGATATCTTTTTTGACATTGGCTGGCACTATATGCGCCGGGTTTACCACATTAGGAGCATTTAATAAAGACAAGGAATTACCTGGTTGAGCGAGTGGGAGACCTGTTGGGTGTAATGACACAAGGGGGCTGTATCGACGTGGCCACACTGATACTTCAGATAAAAGTAAGTCCCTGATCGGCGTGGCTGCACATAAGCAGGTATGTTGCGGCGAAAAGGGAAAAGTTAACTTACCTGGATCGCGGCGGAGTGCCGCCCGATCCTCCAAGAAGACGGGTCCTGGCTGGTGCGGTGTTCTAATGGATGCCGGCCGATGCGGTCCCGTTCTTACTGTTAAAGGGTGCACTGCCCACATTAAAGATGGTGACGGTGTGCGTGTGACATCACGTTATCGACGCACAGGCACATTTTGAGGTCAAGGGACATGTACTAACCAATCCCAGCACTGAGAGGCATATTTAAACCCTGTAATGCCTTTTCTCAGTGCTTTGTCGTGGTTTCCACTTGTTGGTTGCCAGAGAGCATGTTCTTGGTATATTTTTCTGATATTTGACTTTGGCTATTGTTTTTGACTTTCCTTACTTCTGGTATCCTGACCCTTGGCTAGTTATTCGTATTGTCTTATTCTGTATTCCCAACCTTGGCTTGTTCTTTGACCATTCTCTTTTACGTTAAGTCTGGCCATTCTAAGGTCCGGTATACGTTGTTTGTGTTAATATAGTTTTGAGTGTTGGGTCACAGAGTAATTGTGACATTGGGTCAGTGGTGGTTGGTCTAGTAGGTGACATGGCCCTGATGCCAGACTCCAGTCGTTCTAGTCTGTCGTTGATCTGTCCCATGGAGGACAAGACTGATGACATCATGTCATGGAGGTCTGACACGTGGTCACAACTGGACCCTTCTCCAGCACCAGTATTAGCGTTCATAAGTCTATATAGTTCTGCTTTCTGGCAGTAGCCGGGTAAGGTATATTCCTCCTGCGAAACTCGGTCATAATCCATGGAATAGTTGAAGATCTTATAGATGTTAGACTAGCTGTGTCCACCCTACTGGTAGGAATACCGGACCTCGCAGGGGTGCTGGGGAGAGACAAATCTTCGTCACCTCTGAGTATTCGAGACATACTAAAATGTAAAGTAACAATTAGCAAAATTATTGTAATTCCTATAGTGTACTGGCAAGCTGACCAATGCCAAGTGGCGGAAATATTAATTAATTATGGTAATGTATGAGGTCCTGCTAGCTCCCAAGTTGCATTAGAGGCTCTATCTATGCATTGGCCCAAGGGAATTTGGTGGCCACTGAACATTGTGGTGGGGTGTCAGCCTCTCTGTGAATTTTAAAGCATAAGGCAGAGTTGGGCCGATAAGGGAAGTATCTCCAAGTATGAGGATGGGTGTTGGCCTCATGGGACCACTAACCTAAGGCTTGGAAGTCTGAGAAATGATTAACTAACTGGACTCCTAATTCCCTGGAGGCCAGTAACCAAGCTAACTAAGTATGGAATGTATGGTACAGTAGTCATAATTTATTGGAAATGACATATCTGGATGTGTACTATCAGGTATGTAGTATGTCACGGCTACTACTTACGAGTTCGTAAGGGCGAGAATTGAAGGACCACTATAGTGCCAGGAAAACATACTCACTTTCCTGGCACTATAGTGCCCTGATGGTGCCCCCACCCTCAGGGTCCCCCTCCCGCCGGGCTCTGGGGAGAGGGTGTTAAAATCTTACCTTTCTCCAGCACCGGGCGTGGGAGCTCTCCTCCTCCTCTCCTCCTTCATAGCGACGTCATCGTCTGAATTCGCATGTGTGGCAGGAGCCGCACGCACATTCAGCCAGTTCATAGGAAAGCATTTACAGTTATCGTACTTGTGGATACGCCGCGTCACTTCCGGTGCGCCGCGTGCGTTCCACGGGTGGCAACAGAGGACCGAACACACCAGGAAGCTATTGACTTTAAGTAAGTTACCTATATAAAGGACATTTTATAGACTCTTTTTACACTTTTGAAGAAGCCTGATCGGCGAAACGCGTTAAGTGTTACTTTTTATAGCTATATTGTTTTTATATATTGTCATTAAATACTATTTTAAAGCGATATACACCAACTTACTTGGAATTTATTATTTTACTTCCTGGTCTACATATCCTTTAGTGGGGATTATACCACTTAAGCCAAATATACTAAAGCAAGTTTCTGCTCTATAAATGTGAGTACCACACTTTTCATTAATTTTTCTCTTAATTGTTATTATAACATACTGCACTATTGGAGTTTCTTTTTATGTCTTTTATATTACCGTACCACTGGAATATTGGAGATATCTGCTTCTACATATATCCTTAGACGGGCATTGTTCCGTCCATGCGAATTACGGTAGAGCTCCTGGCTAGCTCTACCAAATGTTAGTGTAAATTATCCTAATTTACACAAATACCTCTCTCAGTTTTTTTAACTATACTGCACCATTGTGTTTTCTCTCTGTTTTTATTTTTGAGGGTATATGAGAATTGTTCAAAGAAAAATAGTCTAAATGTACGTATATTTGATTTAGGGCGCGGTTCCTCTCTCTCTTTTTGGTCAAAATGTGTGTTTATATATATACATATATATGTATCTATATATATATATATATATATATATATATATATATATATATAGATAGATAGATAGATAGATAGATAGATAGATAGATAGATATAAATATATATATGGAAATACCTATCAGGCTATGGGCTGGATTATGTAAAGTGAGGGACCTCGCTGTAAATGATGAGACTTAGCACCTAATAACAAAGAAGATGTGTGCTCGTATTAGAATACTTATGGGTTGTAAGGGCTAGATTATGTACCCATACATAATTGTAATAACGTGACTGACCTACTTAATCATCAAGGTACGAGGTATAAAAAGCAAATGCTGCTCTGAATGATGAGTACCCTGTAACCTGAAAATTAAACAATATATTTAGAATGAGTGATGATCAATGAACCAAAATACATCCTATTGAAACCAGGACCCACCTAAAAGTTGTTGATCAATCAAAATGTAATTCAGTATTCCTGATTATAGAACTTAATGCACAACAAGTGAATAAATGAATATCTACAGTGAAACTGAAGCCACATAGTCCAACACGGATTAGTGCAATATATATACGCTAGAATTGAAATGTGACCCACCTATGTTGGCCAGACAAAATATGATCAGGTCAAAAGAGACAAGATGCCTAATGATTTACACAATCCTTACATATACCAGAACTAAGAAAACAGCATATGAGCGTGATTCAGGACAAATGAGAGAATAATACAATTAAGTGTAACCCGGTGTGACATACTTGTGAAACTTCATTGAAACGTGAGCAAAGAGTCATATAAGTTTCACATCACATATAAATGTATAGAGCCAAATTAGAGGGCCATCTCTATGTGTTCAGAAAAAACAAACATAACCTTTGTTTGTGTAATGTGGCTGATTGTATGAATAGCAGAGAACCGTTACTGAAGACCTAAAGGGAGCATTCATTTGAAAGTACGTGAACGCCCCATACTCCATAGAGTATTTAAAACAGATTTAATACAACCTAAAGAGCATTTGTCTGTAAGGGGACGAATGCTCCGCCACTACAAATAAGTATTAGCTACAGGAAAAGGCATTTGTGTGTTTTAGATCTGGACTGGATGAATATGCATGCATGAGCATAGACCCAGATGCCCCCGTTTGTGTGTATACAAGCGTATGAGAATAAGGGAAACAAACTGATCAAAACCACCGAATGCCCCCCTTTGTGTACATAGCCCAACAAGCGTTTGTGTAATTAATAGAAAAAGAACCAAAACTTATGAATAAACATAAAAGAAATAATGCGTTAGAGTAAATGTAAATAATAGAATAGAACCAAACCGAGATAACGCTGTGGTACTGAGACACACACAAATACTGATTAGTTTTTCCCCCGCATTTATGCTTTGTAATTGTGTGTAACTTGTGTTGTAAATGTTAATAAATACTTGAAATATTAAAAATATAAAAATTGAGTAAACAGACATATCTTTAGGTTTGGGTCCCTGAATAACAATCAATACACAACAATATCAGTGTTGTCTTACATTTATGTATGAGATACGAATCCTATGTTTTGAATAAATGGCATCCTATTCCTTATTTTTACAGGGCTCTTTAGTGAGGTTATTAGATTATAAAATAGAATGAATAAAGCAACACAACTCCAATCCCGGATCACAGCATAAACAATGGGTTTAGGTATTCAATCAATATTAGTTTCAATATTAACAAAATAATATGATACATATGTGGAAAGTCAAAACTTAAAAGTTAAAGTTACCCACTATACAAAGGTTTATAGGGCTCTGCTGTAGCACGTTGATGTAATCTTTAAAAACTGGACAGCAGAAAATTGGCAAAACTCTTGGTAACCTCTATGACATTTCTAAAGGGTAGATTCTTATCGGCATACACAAATTATGATTTACATACGTGTTTGTTAGTATTCTAGTATTTATAGTATTCTTTTCCTTTTCTTTTTTTTATGACATTTAGCACTTAGTAAGGATGCCCATACTCACTATATTTATGCTATGTCAAATAGTACCAGAGCCTCCAGTCTATATTGTATGCCCTACTCTATATATGTATTGTTTTTAGTTTTAAAAAATATACTTGGGAGGGGGCGGAGCCAACTAGCTAACGGAGCGGTCGCATGCACCCTGAGCTCCTATACTGAAAAATCCTGAAACCCCAATTTACGCTAATCGGGACAATGGGTCTGCACTTTGAAAGCACCAACTTGAGCAGGAGAACATGGGCAAACACGCCCGCAAATCTTGGGGCTCAGGCGAGAGCCAAACCCAGGATATTAGCTTTTTACTCACCCAGACATCCAGGCCTAAAATGGTGGATCGACTGGCAGAGACACCACGCAGATCCACATCGGCCTCCGAGGAGGAAGATCCAGAGCTGGAGGAGATTCAGCCATACACTCGAAGTGGCAGAGTGGTTTCCCAGCGGCAGCTCGACCCGCAACGGGACACAAAAACAGATATAACCGCGATGGTGATGGAGATTAAGGCCTACATTGCCTCTGAAATGGCGGTCCTGAAAACAGACCTCAGCACTCTAGCAGGCAGGATATAATCCACAGAGGAAAAAAATGTCTGCAGCCTCGGACTCAAACAGGACATCATTACAGCCCAGCTGCAGGGGGTAACCCTCACGTGTGCAGAGCTGATGGCAAAAGTGGGACAGATGCAGCAAGCCAGCGCAATATCAAAATCAGAGGGATCCCAAATGCCATCGATGCTGGCGAGCTCCCACAGTACATCTGGAGATTGCTCTCCACTATTCTGCACCCAAACAGGTGAAAGGTATGCAACTAGATGGGATAGAACACCACCCAGGGAGCCTTACAAACAAACCCTCAGGATCAAGGGATGTCATAATATGCTTTCAGTCACGAACTGACAAGGACACATTTATGGCACAAATTAAAGGCCAATCCCCATTCATCTTTGAACAGCACTCACTGCGCTTTTTTCAAAAACATAGCAGGTCCACACTACAGTGGCGTGCCACATTGAAGGAGGTGACCCCGCAACTGCGAACAGCAGACATTCAATATAGATGGGGGACCCCACGGGCGCTTGTGGTAGAGAGGAATGGCAAAAGGCACAGACCAACAGACCAACACATGAGTGGGATGTCAACAATGTAGCGGTCTTTACACCTGCCAGCACAATGGCCCCAGGATGATGCGTCTATTCTCCCTTAGATAAGTCCTCTGGGACCCTCAGACCTATATAGGTCGTTCACACCCCTGCGCAATGCAATAATGCTAGTAATCGCTCCTCAAATGCAACCCCCCCCCCCCTTAAGCTCCGGGGATATGGAGCTTACTTAATTCTCCCTCAGGCTCAACTGCACTTCTGCTGAAAATAAGCGCAACACAGCCCATTACTGCTGGTCGATCACCGCTATATACTATAACCACCCGCAATAGGGATCCTAGAAACTAATCACCCACCTGCCACTAAGGATCATCTTCCATGCCTCAGCATGGATTATTTGATGAGCTACAATAGGGCAGCTCCCCTGACTACTCCTTCCCTTGAGACATATAATTTTGCGGCTGGCTCTCGATGGTAAATGTACATATGAATATATTGTGATAAATTCTAGCCTGTCTCTCATGTTCTAGCTACTTGCCTTCCCTAACTGGAGGGTAATACTGGAATGTAACTGCTTTATTATAACAACACTCACTAGCACTACTGCGCAATGTACAGTTTTCCCCAATGCCTCTCATGTTATAAACATAAAAGGTGCTCTACCACTGACATTTGTTGATAATCCAGATATTAACCTCATTGTATTTTTCTTTTCGCACTAAATGTCATGATATGCCTGTTACCCAACCTAGCACTACAAAATTATAGAATTCCATTTTTTTTATATATATTCTCGAAAACAAAAGACCCTTTTTTTTGGTTTTAACTATAATACTTATATTAATCTCACCTTTGAGAAGGATTAAAAATTAATATAGTTAGATTTAGTACTATAAATATATACATCAAAATCACCAACATGAGAGATTGTACTTATAATAATGAATGCCACTTTAACCCCTTAAGGACACAACTTCTGGAATAAAAGGGATTCATGATGGAATATTTCCGTCATGTGTCCTTAAGGGGTTAAAACACTTTTCCCCACTTCACAGAAGTCAGGATAATAATTTTGTGAATTATTTTGTCCTCAGTGGTTGGCCAACTACATCTCAGTATGTAGAAACTTAAATAAAAATTAGCACAATGAAAGGAAATAATCTTGGGTTGGTCGAATTGCAGCTATGAAAATTACCATTCTTTGAAAATCATTATATGAAGCAACACCCATATCCAAAATAAGGTATTCATACAATAATATTCAGTTTGGAAAAAGTATTTCTGAAACGGTGTTGCATCATCACTAGTAGTAAGACACCATAGTTTTGCAAACCTTACAGTTTTAATATTTAGCAGTCCCTCTTGCTCAGGCAGCAGATATTTCACATTTTTAAAAATGAATTATGGTTAGATGCAGAAGATACATGTTCTAATCAGTGGCGTACTAAAGGGGGGCCACCAGAGCTGGCCTTGGGAGATGTGAGCTGTGTGGCTGCACAGGGTGCTCATACGCAGGGGCCGGGAATACAGCCCAAGAACTTCGGGGTGAGTTTGGGTGAAGCCAAATCAGACATGGGGCGGAGCTAAAGGCGGCTTCCACCTGCTGCTGTTACTGCTGCACACAGAATTAAAAATAACATAATAAAAACAATATATATTTTTTTACTTTTTGCCTTTTTAACTTTTTGTATAAACTTACACATTTAAGATGTCTTTTTATTTATTAATATACCTGTTTCCTTCCACCCCTCACCGCCTCTCCATTGATGGCTGTCTACTACTGTTAGGAAGAGTAAATAAAACATGGCAAGATTTTCAGTTGTTTAAATATGATTAATACATGATTAAATGCTATGATAAATGTTTAAATCACACTCTTTGGCTGTCAGTCACCTGATATACCCATTGCCTTTTTCTCAGGTGGAAAATATGCATGCATGCCCTTTCACACACCTTCATTAACCCCTTAAGGACTGAGCCAAATGTACACGATGTGATCAAAACAAAACATAAACAAAAACTTAAATTTGCGCCATCTTTGTTCAGGCGTAATTCGCCTCTTTCATATTATTTGCACCCACACTTATTATACATAATTTTAATCAGGGGAAACAGGGTTTTCATTTAACATCAAATATTGAGGTCTGAAACATAATCTAACTGTGAGTGTCATAATACTGTTTGCCTTTACTGCAAAAAAAACAAATATTTGTATTCAGCAATGTCTCGCATGTAAAACAGTACCCCCTATGTATTTTATGGTGTTTTGAGAAGTTACAGGGTTAAATAAAGCATGGTACATTTCTCAGTTTTTTCACATTGAAATTCGCCAGATTGGTTACGTTGCCTTTGAGACCGTATGGTAGCCCAGGAATGAGAATCATCCCCATGATTGCATACCATTTGCAAAAGTAGGGAACCCAAGGTATTGCAAATGGGGTATGTCCAGTCTTTTTTAGTAGCCAATTGGTCACAAACACTGGCCAAAGTTAGTGTTAATATTTGTTTGTATGTGAAAAATGCAAAAAAATAATTTGAACGCCAATTTCGGCCAGTGTTTGTGACTAGGTATCTACTAAAAAAGACTGGACATACCCCATTTGCAAAAGTAGACAACCCAAGGTATTGCAAATGCCATCATGGGGGTAATTTTCATTCCTGGGCTACCATACAAACTCAAAGGCAATGTAACCAATCTGGCGAATTTCAATGTGAAAAAACTGAAACCCAAGCCTTATATTTGACTCTGTAACTTTTGAAAACACCATAAAACCTGTACATGAGGGGTACTGTTGTACTCGGGAGACTTTGCTGAACACAAATATTAAAACAGTAAAACATATCACAACAATTATATTGTCCGTGAAAGTGCCATTTGTGTGTGAAAAATTCAAAAAATGTCATTTTTATTGACAATATCGTCGTTATATTACATTTTACTGTTTTGAAACACTAATATTTATGTTCAGCGAAGTCTTCTGAGTAAAACAGTATACCCCATGTACAGGTTTTATAGTGTCTTGGAAAGTTACAGGGTTAAATATAGTGCTAGCAAATTACATTCCCTGAACTTTTGTCAGGCAGGTCCCGCTAATTGTAATTAATAAAATTACCTAATTATGAAATTTTATTACATAAATATATATGTAGAATTATTATATATATGTGTGTGTATATATATGTGTGTATATATATATATATATATATATATATGTATATAATTTTTTTATTTTTTTTTATTTATACATAGGTATATATATATAGTGATACATACGTATATACTTATGTATATAAATAAATATATTACTTTGTTCTACATGTATTTTGATATTAATATATATATTAATTTTAAAATACAGTTAGAATGAACTTACACATATATATTTTTTATTTATTTATTTTTAATTATTTTTTTAATTTTATTTTTTAACGTATTTACATATTTTTTTATATTATATATAAATATATATATAATGAAAATTATATATATATATTTAATCAATATCATTGTACGTGTATTTTGATATTAATATATATATATATTTATATATATATTATTAAAAACACTTAGACAGTGTATGTGTATGTATATGTGTGTGTATATATTTATATATATATATATATATATACTTAGATCATATATAATAAATATATATATGATCTAAGTATATATTATTTATTTTTACACTGTTTTAACTTTATTTCATTTTATTTTCAGGCAGCAGGGGGAGTACCTGTCATTACAGGCACTCCCCCTGCTGGCATTGCTATGGACGGCTATGCCATCCATGTGATCGTGAGGTCCTCGCAAGGACCTCGCGATCACATGGCCCAGGGGGGCTGAAGAGGACGGAGGGGGACTCCCTGGGCTTCCAGGTAAGTTCCCAATAGCGCGATCGCCGGCCATTTCACTGGCGTAAGTAGAAAGGACAGTTTGGGCGTTCTATGCTGCCCTCCGGCGTTTAGAGCCAGTTCCCTAAGGACGGCATAGAATGCCCACCATCCTTAAGGGGTTAAAGGGAAACTATAGTGCCAGGAAAACAAACTTGTTTTTCTGCCACTATAGCTTCCCCTCCCTCAAAAGTTGCCTTACTGCCTGGAAGTTACTCAATGGACCGTCATGGCAAGAAACTTGCCATGCTTTCTTAAAAACTGTAATAATTACCTTTGCAAGTTTAAGGGCCCTGGAACTATGCACCCAGATCACTTCAATGAGCTCAAGTGGTCTGGGTGTCCTTTTAAGCTTTCCCATCTCTCTGTTTCCCTGACTTATTTCCTTCATTCCACAGATGTCCCAGTCCTCCAATCCCCAGACTTATACTCTCTATTCTCCAGCATCGTCCCTCTCTTTAAACATCTCCTCCTTTCCTTAGCCTTACGTCTCTCCCCTCTGTCTTCACAGTTATCTCGTGCAGCAGAGAGGCAGATACCTCCACCTCCCTTCAATTATTTGCTGCTCTCGTAATTTAC